CTGTCGGAACGATAAATGAGTGTCGGCATTGTAAAACCTGGGATGACCCATGCCCTTTATGCCTACATGAAAAACTACACATAATTAAGTTTCTAAATAATGAAAATTTATTAAACCATAGACATGAGTTAACAGTTTTTTTGCTGACATCAACAAATTTTTGCATTAAATAATTAGCTTAAAAAAATCAAATTTCATAGTTAAAAACTTAACCCAATCATTAAATAAAAAAAACCTTTATGAAGTCGTCAAAAAAAAACAAATTGTAGTTCAGTGTGACGCGTTTATATATGAAACAGCCCGTTGAAAATAGATCAATAAATAAAATAAAATAAAACAAAAATTATCCAGATACTAAACAACATACCATGGTGCCAAAATTTATCATTCTCTGTGACTGATCAAACGATACGCGCATATGAATGCCATCATTCGCTTTGAAATAGACACCCCACCCTACCTCAGATTGATCCCTTCCTGTAGGTGACTGATATGTGGATAAAAATTAACTCTTAGGCCACTTATCAAAAATGGTCGCCCCAGCTGTTTCCATAGTAACGAATGAACATTCTTATAACAATGCGTAAATTTCAAGATTGGTTATTCCTAAATTTTCGCTTGAGGATGAAAGAGGGCTTGATACCTTAATTCAATTTAATTTTAATAATTATATTGAGGGTTTCGGCTCTCGTTTTTGAAACATGAGAACTCTTATGTAGCGAAGGAATCATTTTTTTTTTTAAAATAATTATAATTTAAGCTCTACTTTTGTATGGAGCACTGATTTTTTTTTTTTAAATAAAAACAAAAATACTAAAGAACTCCGGATTATTTACCTAACGTGTTCTTTCCTATTTTCTACATACCTGCACATACACACACACACGCTCACACACACACACACACACACACACACACACACACACACACACACACACACACACACATACACACATATATATAAAATATGTGTGCGCGTGTGTGTGTATATATATATATATATATATATATATATATATATATATATATATGTGTGTGTGTGTGTGCGTGCGTGCGTGCGTACGTACGTGCGTGAATTGTGTGTACAAGGGAAATGTAGAACGCGTATCAGCATTCAGATTTGCGTGCCAATTTGACGGAGTTATTGCTTGGTGAAATGAGATCGTGTCTCGGTGCATTCAGTATATCTGAGGCCCCCTTCCTTATGTTACACGACGTGACCCAGTTGGACAGCACAACAAACACATCTCGGTTTTCCTCGACGTCTTCCCTTGCTTCTAAAGTTAAAATAGTGTCTTGCCATCATGATAATAACAACGAAATGTTCGCTTCGTCATCATTGTCATCATTGTCATCAGCGAGGCCAGGGCAAAAAGTCTGACGTCATCTGTTTTGCCGGGACAGATGACGAAGTTGTCTCGATAGGATAACAGTCAGTCAATGAGTGTTTGTCTCTGCTCTTCTGTTTGTGAATTCTATTACTGGCGTAGACATATTTATCAAATTCTATTCATATTTATCTGCACTTACATTCAGTCTGACAAAATAAAATTGACTCTACGCCTGGCTTTTTCAGCCACTACACACACATACACACACACAATCTCTCTCTCTTTCTCCCTCTCTCCACACACAGACATACACACACACACACATATATATATATATAAGGGTGTTTCATTAAGACGGATCAGTCAGCAGTAAATAAATCAATGTTATTGCTGAAAATTTATTTATTTCTCTATCGGATCATGTAATTTAACTCATTGCAATTACGTGTGAAAAAATAATATCGCTTAAATATCCGCCAATGCTTCGGCGGCACGCCTCCATTCGATGGTCAAAATTTTTGATGGCCTCTCTTCATAGTTTCTCCTCAATCTCACCAATATGCCTTATTATGTCATCCTTCAGCTGTTGAATTGTTGTTGGCTCGTTGGCATAGCCCTTACTTTTGAGATGACACCAAAGGAAGAAATTTAAAGGCGTCAGTCGGAACAAACCCAGCACATTCGAACCCTCTGTCTCGATGACTTTTGACTTCATGTTAGGACAGCTACGGACCGAGTGGTTAGAACGTTCGATTTCTGACCATGAGATCCGGTTTCGAATCTCACCATGGTCGATTTGTCAGGATGGAGACTTCCTAGGGGTTATGGGTCTAGAGTGGGGACGATCCCAGCGAGCGGCACCTTCTGTAAACCATACCACATGCTGATCCAAGCCTTGTGATTGAGATTGGGTAGACGGAACACTTGACGCCGTCGATATCTATCTATCTATCTATCTATCTATCTATATATATATATATATATATATATATATATATATATATATATATATATATATATGACTGTGCTCACACGAAGATAGAAGTTATCGTGAAGGAGGGTTTGAACGTGCTATCCATGTTCATATTGTTAGATATAATATATTGTATTATAGATAACACGCCCTCTCCCAGAAACTATAACAAACTCTGCACAGCATAGTTGCAGTC